AGGATTCGAAGAGGTTTATTGAGGATTTCTTGCATGAGTTATATATTTCTGACGCCACGGATTCGAGAATTCAAAGATGTTGATTTCCTAGAATTGCAGATTTGGGGTGGGGGCGAGAGCGGGCGAGGTGGGTGGAGAAGAAGAAGGTGGAATGGGTTTTTAATTTTAATTATTTGATTTTGGTTATTTTATTATTGAAAAATGTAAAATTATCATTTTCACCTTTTAAAATCAGTCAACATTATTGTCAAAATCAATTATTTGGTCAACTAACGGTCAAATTAATAGAAATCATTCATTGGACTTTAGTTGCAGACATTTTAAAAGGTTTGGTATTGTGAGTGACACAAATAAAGGGTTTGGTACCGTGAGTGGCACAAANTTTAATTATTGGTCAACAAACGGTCAAACTAACAGTTTCTGTCAATTTGGACTCCGAGTGCAAATTGTTTTAAAGGTTGGTACCGTGAGTGGCACAAATGAAATGTTTGGAAAACGTCTACTACTAAATGAAAGGTTTGGTACCGCTACTGCAATCATCCCTAAAAACATTAAATGGTGGGGTGCTAATGATTTGAGCATTCGCAAGATGGTTTTTGAACCCGGGTTGAGTTTTTAATTTAATATTATGCTTTCTTGTTCTTTGTTTTTGTGGAAACTTGATAATTTTATTATTCAAATTGAACAAAAAAAAAATAAAAATGGAAAGCAGGTGACTTGATCGAATCAACTTGAAATGATTTCAATTGGGTCGATTTTACATCATGAGCCGGTTCGAGTCAGTTCAAGGCAAAACTGACTTTACCTGACATGTTGCCCAACCCTAAGCATTACTCAATACTATAACATTTAAATGTTGGAAGCCTATTGTGCATTCCCTCATATCTTATAAATTAACTTTTTAGAACATCTTCAATGCACCCTATGGATTGCCATCTAGGCAATCTAATTGTCTTTTATTTTTTATAATTTTGGTACCGATTAATATCTAAATTTTAATCTAAGTTAAAGTCAATAATTAATTTTAATCTCATATTTTATGGGATCTATAATTTTTTAA